TTCATGTATAGCGCATAAAATTCTCCACGCAGCTAGGGACACAATGCCATATATTTTGGTGAGAGGTTATGCTAATTTTGGTCACATGACAAGTATGTGTGTTTTAGAGTGTTTCTCATTAGCATTTGTTTCCTAGCACAAGGTCCTTAGAGAGAGACACTGGTTGGAAAACACTGGTTCTTCTCTGAATAAAATCATCCGTTGCTATCACCAATAAAGGTGTATGAAACATCACAATTGGTTCATGAATTTGGTTCATGGCAAATGAGGCAGGTGCCAGGTGGATTTGTCTCTTGGCAATGGTTGTCATCAGCTCATCACATCGTCATACATCAGTGTCACCCGATCCAAGTAGTAGAAAAAAGTAGGGCACATCTAAACGGAGATGTAAGTAAATGATTGAACTCAATCATGCCAGAGGTTTTACTGTGAGTGAAATGTCGATTCACTTATTAAATTCTTGTGTTGAGCAGAAAAATATATATTCAAGTGTTGCGTCATTCTTGTATTGTTGGGTCAAATTTAAAAATTTAAATGCCAGTTTAGAATAAAATTATACTAACCTTTTTATTCGATACTTGATAAACTATTGGCTAATTTTAGATTTTAAGTTTCATTTGGTTTTCGAAATTTGATGCCATGCAAATTTTAAATAATTATGCTATAAAAGAAACCTTCGATCCTTACATCTTACCGATCGAACTCTTACATTTCACACATCAGCGAAGGTAGTTGCTGGTCATGTCAATTAGGTTCTGGTAATAATTTTGTTTTTAAAGTTTTTATCGAAAAATAAATAAATAAAATTTTTCTTATGAGTTAGAAATAATTTCTATTTTTTCTATTTTTCTAAAAGTTTTGAAAAGTTGTTTCATTAATTTTTTTTATTTGAAGAGATATGTTAATTTTTAACTTAGAAAAAAATTTATTTATTTTTATACTAATTTTTTTATTAAAACATCTTTACAAATTCATCTAAACAGGGTATTAGTTGAAATTAGTTACTTTGTGTTTATGCTATAATTAGTTATTCAAGTCATATTTGAGTGAGCTTGTGAATAAGTTCTTATAGAAGAAAAAAATGATATAAAAAATAATTTTTTTTTCATGTTTGATAAGTTAAAATTAATTTATATTTCTCTATTTTTTAAAATTTATTTTTATTTAATTTCTATAAAATTTAAAAAAATGAATTATTTTAAATTTATAAAAAATTTAATTTTAAATTATTTTTTTTACAGAGACTTATCCACAACTTTAACTAAATATGACATTAATTATGTGACTTTTTTTAGACTTTTTTTTTTTTTAAGAAAGTGACTAAATTATTCGATTATTAGTATAAAACGACATTGAATTTTTAATTAGAGCTCTAATTCCAACTTGTTGCTTTTTTTTTCTAACTTGTTCATTCAATTATTGGATTATTGAACCATTCTTTTTTTGCAGTACTTTCATGGCAAATGATTTTTATTTTTTCTAAAAAACCCATATTTCCTTTGATGATAAATTCTTTGACATTCTTCATGTTAAAATGTTTTTTAGATGATAAATTCAAAATCAAAGATTTAGGTCCTCTTTGATATTTTCTAGATCTCAAAATAGCCAGATCAAAGGCATTGTCTTAAATCATAAGTATACTCTGAACTGTTAGAGGATATAATGCCTTATTTGTTCCCAAATTAACTAAAACACAGTATGATCCAACCATAATGTTGCAAAGTAATAGCAAGAACCCCTTTAATTTTTATTATGCTGTAACATATAGATGGTTGATTGGAAGGCTTTTTTGTATTTAACTCTTAATTTCCCTTACAGTTTAGTAGCCTAGTCAATTTGTTTCTAAGCAAATAAATTCTTATTGTAAGGTTGTCACTCAAATATTAAGATAATAAAGGCATCTCCAACAAAGAGCCTATGTTTCTTTACTTCGTTCACTCTCACTATTAAGCTTCTTGTTTGGATCCCAAATGTTCTATCATTATGTTCTCAACTTATTGGTGTCTTTATTAGACCAAAACAGAGCTTCATGCCCATGTTGAATCCGTATCCAATCATAGTCCATGAGACTTGGATGATGGGTTAAGCCCAATCGTTCTCAAAGTAGAAGGTAGCCTTCTGACCCAAAAAGAAAAAGTACAACGTAGCCTTCAGACAAAAAAAGTAGAAGATAGCCTCGCCTTCGTTTAAGCTATATTTACACATAAATTTCTAGTAATAAAAGAGTTATATAACATTTTAAAAAATAAAATTAACAGATTAAATGTTATTTGTTGTATTATTTTTTTATTTTAAAAATATAAAATTAGAAATAAAATATTTTCTTCACCTTTACAAAACTCAACTCTTAAAATTATCCCAAAGGGTCGGTTAGACATAACTAAATTTCATTAAATATGAGTTCAAAGATATATTGGTCTTATTTGGATAAACTTGTAAAAAAATTCTTATAAAAGAATAATTTTTTAAGTTAAAAATAACTTATCTCTTTAAATTTTAAAAAAGTTAAATAAAATAATTTTTCAAAACTTCTAAATAATAGAGAAACAAATTATTTTAAATTCTTTAAAAAATTATTCATTTTTTATACTAATTTGTTTTATTATAAGAACTTTTCAAAATGTTGATTCAATTAAAACCATCAGATAAAATAAATGATGTCATATTTAGCTAATCTTGAGTGGGTGAGTCTTAAAATGGCTATAGGACACGCGAAAAATGTGCATGTATTTACTCTTTAATTGACTTCCTTTCTTATTTAAAATTTCATTTCTTTGAAATGGATAAATGTAACGTTTATTTAAAAAACAAATAGTTTTTTAGATTTTTATTATTTTTATTATAAATCTATATTTTATACTTTATCTTTTAAAACAAGCCTTGCATTTTAACTAGGGATGGTTAATGCACTTATTTATAGACTTCTATAATGACTTTTTCAATTTTAGGCTTCAATAATAACTTTTAGTTTGCATATTTTAAAAATAATATATTGAATGTCTCTTTTCCAAAAGCGGTGGTCGTCTCCCATATGTGGTAAAACAATCAGATAGTATGAGCCCAAATTGGAATGTAGAATGCAAGGTTACTGTTTGTTTCTCTTTTTATATATTTTTAAAATAAAAATTTATTTGTTAATTTAAGTTTTTTTTTAAAATAAACAAGGATATCCTGTAAAGTGTTTTGATTTTTTTTTCTTTTCTTAAAATATTTAAAAATTTAGAAAATTTGGAGATTTTACTTTTCATTAATGGTAAATATTGTAATTAAAAAAGAAATGCAGATGTTAGAGTTGTTGCAGTACACATAACTTGAGGATTTGAAGTTGGCATTGGTAAAGGAGTCTGAAGAGGATGTCATCTCTCTGAAAGCTTCTGAGTCATTTCTTGATTTCGATGGTTATGCTCTCGACTTCACAGTCTAAATCTAAGTTAGGTATTTATATATTTTTAATATTTTAACCATTAAATAAATCTAACAACTTGGATTTAAGATGGAGTGTGTGGCAAGGAAAGAATTCGAACCTCAGAGTTACTTACATGCAAATTGGAAAAACCTAAACTTAAATGGAAAAATTTTGATCTAAATTTAAGTCGAGTTTTCAAGTTTAAGTGTCATCCATAAAATTAATTGTTAAATTAGTTGATAAATATAAAAATAATAGAAAAGACATATAATCATTAGACTAAAATTATAATTGGGTGATTATATATTTTTAAATAATTGTAAAATTTTATATTTTAATTTATGTAAAAATATTTATTATATTTAAAATTAAGATAAGAAATAATTAATTTTCAGTTCAATATTAATTATAGTTTCATGTGTTAACAAATTTTCAATTCAATATTTTGTTTTAAATATAAAAATATATTTATATATTAAAATTAAATATCATATATATATAATTTAAATACTAAATAAATAAAATTAAACACCTTTTTTTAGTTTTTAAAACTTATTTTCAAAAATAAATTTATTAAACATGTTTTTTATTTTCTTATCTTAAAAACACTAAACTAACAAATAAGTTTTGTTTTTATTTTCTTAAAATTAAAAACCAAAATAGAAACAAATAAACTCTTAATTTCACAAGATACAATTATAGTATTAAAAAATGTTATTGTTAAGAATATTTATCTTTACAAAATTCAAAACATATTTGATTAAAATTTATTGTTTTTACCAAAACATTTCTTTAAAATTTAAATAACACAAACAATAAAATAAAACTTACTGATTAAAGAATAAGCTAGTTTATATTATTTTCATAATAATGTAACTATGTGAAAATGATATACATAAAAAAATCAATTATGTCTAAGAAAAAAAAATTTAAACTTATAAAAAATACACAAAAAGAATGTTAACTTATATTTTTTTCGTTTAAATTTAATTAAAATTTTGATTTGATCTTTTAATTTTTAATTCAATTTAATTTTCTAATTTTGTTTTGTGCTAAAGTTGTTTTTCTAATTTTTGCTCTTTATTTTTTATTTAAATAATATTTTTGTGTTTGATATAAATATAGATTCCTAATGATAATAATTTAAAAAAATGATAAATGTATGAAACTTATGTTTTGACAATGATTGTTAAGTATTAATGATGAAAGAAAAAATAGTTGTTGGTCAAGGAAAGCAATTAAAGATACTTTTAGTGGTTCATTCAAGAATATTGGATACAATCTGTTATATATATTAAAAAATTAGTAATTAAAAAATATTATTAATATGTGATTTTAAATAAAATCTTACCATGTTATTAATCCATAGTTAAAACAATGTTATTTTATTTTTTATATTTTTTGTCAAATTAGGAGATAGAACAAGGTTAAAGAAAAAATTCAATTTAAAAATTTTGAAAATTAAAATAAAACTTTAAAAAATAAATTAAGTTTAGTGAACATAAATTATTGAGTGGAGTAAAATAGACCATTTTTTAATAAAAATAAAATAAAATATTCAAAAACTATAATCCAAAGTGGAAGGGCTTTAGCTATATGTTTTCATCTGCGAAGTCCTAAACCTTTCCTCTCTTTCCATTCTATTCTAATTAACATCAATGGAGTCACTGCGACTGCAAAATTTCCTTTCTCACTCCCTTTGTTTCTAATTCTGACCCCAAAACAATGAAATCCCTTCTCCGTAGAAATATCTTCTTTCTCTCATCATCTTCACCTGGCGCGCTTCAAGCGCGTGAATTATCATCTTCTCCTCATCAGTGGAGTCGCTGCGGAGAGGAGGAAGAGTCTTCACGAAATGTTAGGGTTTCGGTGTGGTGGGATTTCAAGAACTGCCACGTGCCCGAGGGCTACGACGCTTCCAAAGTCGCATTCGCAATCATGCAAGCAGTGAGAACGAACGGAATTAAGGGTCCTCTTAATATCACCGCTTTCGGCAACGTTCACCAACTCTCCCAATCCAACCAAGAAGCACTTGTTTACACCGGCATTCGTTTATCTCACGTTTCCAATGGTTCCTTTTCTCTTCTGTTCCCATATTCTATATATATAGTTATAAATGTGCAAGTAATTTGCCACACCTATGATCATTTTCTATTTGTTACAAATTTCATCAATTCATTATAATTGAAATGGATGTCATTGCTGTGTTTAATTTATATACAATTTTAGCTTTTAGAATTATAATATTGTTATAATACTTATGTTGCAGATGGAAGGAATAGTGCTGATATTCTTGTTGATCTTATGTATTGGGTTTCCCAAAATCCTCCACCTGCGCATCTATTTTTTATATCTGGTGATAGAGATTTTGCTGGCATATTGCATAGGTTAAGAATGAATAACTACAATATCTTGCTTGCTACTCCGACGAAGCCTCCTAGTGTTTTGTGCACTGCGGCTACTATAGCATGGCAATGGTCTTCGTTACTTAAGGGAGAAGATCTTGCTGGAAAACATTTCAACCCTCCTCCTGATGGTCTGATTGGTTCTTGGTATGGAAGCTACAAGGCGCCTCTTGCCAAGCCTTTAACGGATGTGGAGATCTATGAACCTTCCTTAGAGGTAAAGTTAGGTTTGATTCCCAGTTCAGTTGCGAGGCAGGTTAGGCATATATTGAGTTCGCATCCAAAAGGGATCTGCATTACAGATCTTCATGTTAAGTTGGCAAAATGTGATGTGCGTTTGGATAAAAACTTTTATGGATATAAAAAGTTTTCCCACTTTCTATCATCAATTCCACTAGTACAACTCCAGCCTTTAGGTGATGGTGATTTTAATGTACATCTGGTTCCTTCAGAATCCCCTAAACCTTTTGAGAGCAGGGTTGTGCCGTCAACAATGGCTGTTGTTAAGAATGAGGAGAGAGGATATGCAGCAACTCCAAAACTAAATGGTGATGATAAAAATAAGGCTAAAGATGTGGACGAGACATCCTCAATTGCCTCATTCCATGAAAGGAGTTTGGATGATGATTTAAAATCATTCCAATCGGTCTCTTCACAAGGGAAACCCGATGAGGAATTTATGGATGTTAAATCATCATTTCCTTCATTTGTTGACAGACATTTTGTTCAGACCCCAAATGTGTTGCAGAAATCTTCTGTGGCTAGTGACAATATTGTGGATGTGGGTAATGCACAGCAATCAGAGATTCAACTGTTTCCCAAGGACAACAAAGATTTCAAAACTCGGACAGGTTCTGTAGAAATGACATCTCAAAACACGTTTGATGATGACATTGTGAAGTCAGAGGGTGTAAGTCATAAAATTCTGGAAAATAATGCAACTTCAGGGAATCACTCTTCTGGAAATAATTACTCAATGGTGGAAAACGATGCTATTGCAGAGTGCGAATCTGAAAATTTAAAAGCAGAGAGCAAATGTGAGAGTTCAACTAGAAATGAGGTTGGTGGAGTTTGTCACAGTCTATATTCTTCACCAACTGAGGAATCTCTTGTTGACAAAAGACCTGGGGGAAGTGTTGAAACTTATAGCAGAAGTCCAATATTCTTTAGCTGCATTAGAAGTCGGTGGCCATTTTGGAAAAGCAATGCAAAGTATGATGATTCAGCTGCTCATCAGAGCAAGGTAACCAGTCATGTTGAGAATTCCAAGGTATCTGAACTAGACCAGACTGTTAGTCATTTTGAAGATCGTAAGGTATCAGAACTGGATCAGAATGCTAGTTGTTCTGGAAAGCCTAAGTTATTTTCTAGTGTTTCCTTTTGGAATGATGTGGAATCTTTTGTTTTCACGCCCAAAGGATCACTTCTTTTCTCCCAGTCAAGAAGCAGGTTAGTGTGCATATTAGTTTTGTACAGATCTTTTAAAATAATTCCCCTTTTTATGGATAATAACCAACTTTTGGCTGTTACATGTTCATTCTTTCCTTGTTCTAATCTGAACCTCAACTACCAAGGAAAGGAAACATATAATAAATTAATTATATCATAAAGTTTCTATTAAAAAGTTGTGATCCTTTTGATATTTTATGATGATTATATGGAACTACTTAGTGAAAGAGTAATTTCAAAACATTTGCTACATGGTTTTTGTGACAGGGAGGATATGGCACATAAATTACAAAATGATGGGCCCCTGGCTCTTAGATCTCTGTTAAAAAAAGATATTCTTCAATTGGTGGAACTGTTAATAGCAGAGAAAAAGTGGTTGGAGGAAAGCCCCTCCCAAACATTTCCTTTTAGGCTAACTCAACCGCTTCAGAAGAATTCTATGGTGGGCCAATCTCATGGTTCAAATGGTTTGAGTTCTCTCTTTCTAAGTAGAACATCACAGTCCAACTTGCAAAAGCCATTGAAACATCATGTGGAGAAACAAAATCAGAGTATTTCTCATACTAGAGTTTCTGCACCTGCTACTGAAACAAAATATGCAAAGAGGTCTAGAAATGATATATTAGAAGACTGTCAGAAACTTGTGAGTGAGATATTGAGGAAACACCCAGAAGGATATAATATTGGTTCTTTCCGAAGGCATTTTGCTGATAGGTATGGCTATCATCTTGATATACAGGAGCTTGGTTTTCAAAAGTTGGCATCCTTGCTACAGATAATGCCTGGTGTTAAATTAGAGCTCACTTATATTTTTCCTTTTGTTCCTGCTGTTTCTGTTTCTGACCTGGAAACTTTAGCTTCCAACTCAGATAGTGCATTATCTGAGTCACCCATGAAAGATGATAACATGGAATCCCCACGGGAGGAATTAGTTCCCATTTCTGTGAACCATTCCAACCCGAGTGACCTGGAAGATAAGTTACTTGAGAAAGCCATAGAACTGGATTTGTCAAAGCATCCTGATTATGAACCAGTTGTCTTGGATGATGATACTTCCGACTCTGAAGGAGATAGCTCTTGTTTAACGCAACCAGAAGAGCAAGAAAAGACAAAATGTGATGAAGAAGACAATTATTTTTGGCAAGCTAAGGATTTGTGGCACAGCAGCAAGGGAAGAGAGATTAGTGTAAAGCAATCAGACAATGTTAATGTCTTGTACACTTCTCTGGCTGATATTTTAAATTCGTCCTCTGCGTCGACTAAGGGTACCCTTTCCAAAACTCCTTCGTCAAATTACAGAGAGAAGCAAAAATCTCAAAAGAACTATTCATTTGTTGATGATCCGGTCTTACCTAACAAGGACAAACTGATTAATGGAATATTAGATGGCAACAAGAAAGCAGACGAGTCGAAGATGTAAAACTCAGGAGTTCTTGACACGGGCAATATGTGGGTCCTTGAATTCTAGAATTGGAAGTTTGAGATTTTCATCACTCCAGATTACAGACAGAGTGAGATGGTTATATGATTCTTTATATCAAGGAATTGTAGCTTTAGCTGGCCATGGTACTGTTATTTCAATTGAAGAAGATTCCAATGGTTGCTAGTTGCAACTTTGGAAATTCTTTCCATTTAAACAATTATTGTAGGTCGATTCTTTACTGCTCGATCAGTTGAGTTTATATTTCACAAGGTCATAGGAAAATCTTTCCAGCTGGAACAGTTGAGTTTTGGTCTTTTACGTGTGCTGTCTTAGTATGAGATCATAGTACGGCAATGATTCATAACACTCTTTCAAGTTGCAGGAACCATACAATATAGTATCTAATAAAATTCCTTGCAAGGGCTTATATCCTCTCTCTTCTTTATCTTCCTGATAGATTTTTTATCATTCAGCATTACAGCTTCTATTCCACTAGGTAATGATGACCCAGAATTCTGATCTTGTTTTAATTATCATCGCGACCATTGTTAATTCTTTTATTTGCAGTCTCTAAAATCTCATTTGACTATTAAATTTTAATGTTATTTGGAAATTATCATCTAATTAGAATTTTTGTATTAGCTTATTTTGTGAATCTCTTTGTTGATAGGTTCGGATTCTGTTTCGTTATGACAGGAACTGGATGATGGAAGAGTTGGGTATGAAAAGAAGAGAAAGGGAGTTGGATACGAAGGTTGGAGAGAGAATGTTAAACGTAGGAGAGAGGGAAAGCATATGACCGGGGGTTAAACTTCGATTTTTTTTGTTTTTTTGTGGACAAATGACTCATAAATTAGTTGAAAATTAAAAAGTTAATTTTTAACTGAAAATGATTAATTTATTATTTAAAAATATTTGATAAAGTTAATATTCAACTAGTTTATATATATATATATATATATATATATATATATATATATAATATTAAAATATATGTATAATATCTTTTTATATTATAAATTCTGTTTTTATTTCCTTAATTGGGTATGGGAGAAGAGGAATGAGGTGGGTATGGCTGCGCAGGTGACGGTGGAAAGAAGAAAGTTGGATATGAGGTTAGAGAGAGATGTTAAGACTTAGGGGAGAGAGAAAACAAATAATTGGAGGAAGAGATGTGAAATTTGATTAAACTTTAAATTTATTTTTTTTGGACAAATGATTTAAATTAATTGAAAATTAAAAAGCTAATTTTAACAGAAAATGATTAATTTAGTATTTTAAATTTAAAATTTTTGATAAAGTTAATATTCAACTATAATAATAATAATAATAATAACAGATGTTTTGATTACTATTATTAAAATATATGTATAATATTTTTTATATTATAAATTTTAATTTTATTTCGTTAATACAAACATAATTTGGTTAATTATAGTTTTGATTCACCAATTGCATAAGATTCATGGTAAGCAAAAAATGATTTAGCTACCAACCAATTCAGCAAAAGTATTTAAGTGTCTGTTACTGTATGATACATGCTTGATTAAATATTATATACTCTCTTTAAAATTGATAAATGTGATTTCTTATATACGTTAAAGATTGAAAGGTATTCATGTTATTTTTAAATAAATTACTAACTTAACTATTTATTAATATAAAATTGATAATAATAATTATTTCATGTGATAAAAAAACGTAGAATCTATCAAGTATTTAATCAGAGAATTAATATAAAGGGTATTTACGTTATTTATAAAGTACTATAGTTACTTAAGCGAATAATAGTAACTTAAGTAAAAAATACAACAAATTAAGTTCCTTTATTTTTTCTAGTTTAATATAATCTCTTTAATTATTACTCTTACCGTGAATTAAGTTCTTTTACTTTTCTAGCTCAACATAAACTTTTTAGTTATTATTTTTATTCTAATAAAATAAAAGTAATAATTTTTAATATAATTGGAAAGAGTATATGATATTTTTAAATTTATAAAGATTATAATTGAAAGTATAACAATCCAAAAAGAGAATGATTATGTAGGTTTAGGGTGTATGATAAATTTAAGAAATAAGTTTGTATACTATTAAAAATGGAGAAATAAAAAAAATTAAAATAAAAAAAGGAGAAATTGAACAAAACTTCTAAGATAATATTTCAAGAAAAAATTACTTGATTCTATTAGATCTCTTTATCTTAGATATTTTTATTTTTATTTTTTGCTTACAACAGGGGCTAAAAGCCCAAAAACACAACTAAAATCTCATTCTAGAGGTAAACAAACCAATTGAGTCTAAATTCAAATAAGGCCAAAGACAAGGAGCCCTATCAAAACAAGAGAAAGGAATACACGATTCAAGGCCTAATTTGGCAAGCCTATCAGCATAAAAATTGGTCTCCCTATATGCATGGCTGAATCTAATAAATTTAATCTTCTTAAGCAAATGTCTAATGCTATGAATCAGATAATACAAAGGGTGAAAATAATTCTGAACTGTAAGAACAAGAGAAATTGCTTATTTGGAGTCACTTTCAATCCAAATGTTGGAGATATTATTTTGAATAACAAGCTGGACCAAAAAATATACCCCACAATTCAGCTTCAATCGAGGAACAAGCTTCTAAACAAGAGTAAAACCCAACCACAAGTTGCCCTTTGTCATTGTGGATAAGGCCACCATAACCAGCAGAGGTGGAATTTGGAGAAACAACACCATCAGTATTAAGCTTCAACTGTTGGGAGGGAGGGGGATTTCATTTAATTTGACACTGGTCATCAGTAATAGAGAGAATCACCTTAGATTTGCCCCTGCAACAAAGTTTAAAGTAATCAAAATCACAAAAAATTTTATGAATGAGAGCATTAACTTGAAATCCTGATTTTTGAAATAATGATGCATTCCTGTTTTTCCAAAGATGCCATATAATAATACCAAAAAGTCTATTCCAACCAGTAGAGTTATTCCAATTATATGCTGTTAGATTATGCTGCAGCCAGGTAAAAAGGTTATTACTAAAAAAAATAAGCCCAATTTTGAGGGAGAAGAAATTGTTGCCAAACTTGCTTAGCAAAATAGCAATCTCTAAGCACATGCACGATAGTCTCAGGAGCAGAATTACATCTAGGGCAAAGAGAATCACAAGTCACGCCTCTCGTATGCCTCTCTACATTGGTCAGAAGCCTTCCATGAGCAATTTTTCACAAAAAGATGATCACATTAGGAGGCCCATCCCATTTCCAAATCAATTTAAATAAAGCAGAATTTGAATTAAAATCATGATTATTCGCATAAACCAAATTGTAAGCAGATTTAATAGAAAAAATTCCGTTTCCATCATGTTTCCAAAAAATAGTGTCTTGCACCCCAGATATAGAAGGGGGTTTTAAACAGGAAATGTAGTTGCAGATTGAAAGGGGAAGAGCATTCTTAATCTTATTCAAATTCCATTCACCCTTATTAGTAAACAGAATAACAGGAAGATTTAAATCAGCCTCTGCAATACGATGCAAAGCAAGGTTAGATAGATTAGAAATGTGAGGAATCCAACTGTCTGTCCAGAATTTCACAGTTAGCCCATTACTCACAACTCATCCTAACCCTTGAGAGAAGATGTGCCACACATAACTCATGCCTTTCTAAAGGTGCGAAGAAAAATTACTAGTGCCTAAATTAAGGGTTCTGCTAATATAAAATTTGTATTTACTAGAGAGGACTTGAGCCTAAAGAGTAGAGGGGGAAGTAATCAATTTCCAACATAATTTCATTAAATAGGCTTGATTAAGCATTTGCAAGTTCCTAAATCCTAGGCCACCATCAGACTTAGGCCTACAAATTTTTTCTCACCCAACAAGGTGACATTTCTTGCCTCCAAAAGAACCCCAAATGAACTGCCTGCATAATTTATTAATTTCATTACAGACTCCTTTAGGAATAAGCATGGTTTGCATAAGATAAGAAGGAATGCTCATAAGGCAAGACTGAGCTAAAACAACCCTACCAGCCATGGAAAGGGAATTCAATTTCCAAAGAGAAAGCTTTTTCCTAACCTTATCTATTAAAAAGGTAAAATCCTGCTTAGAGGGTTTATGGTGATTGATAGGTATGCCAAGATATCTCCCAAAATCTTTAGTGGACCTGATACCTAGGCTATTACTAATTTCCTAGATAAGCACTAAGTCAGAATTTTTGGAGAAAAAAATTGAGAATTTCTCCTGATTAATTTTCATACCAGAAGCAAGACAGAACTCATTTAAAACAGTTTTAATGATGTTGGCATTATGCATGTCAGCCTTTGCTACTAAAATAATGTCATTAGCAAAAAATAAATGGGAAATCTGAGGCCCAGAATTGCTAAAGAAGAAAGTATTACAGTCAGTAGACATGACCCTATCTTTAATTAGATGAGCTAACCTTTCCATACACAACACAAACAGATAGGGAGAGATAGGGTTCCCTTGCCTGATACCCCTAGAGGGTAAAAAGGACTCAGTTCTACTCCTATTCCAATTTAAAAACATAGAGGATGAAGAAATGCAATGATGAATAAGGTTAACTATATTAGAATTAAAACCAATTTTTTTAACAGTATCTAAAATGAACTTCCATCTTAGGCGATCATAAGCTTTTTCCAGGTCAATTTTGAGAATCATGTAACCATTCCTACCTTTTAACTTACTAAATGAATGCATGATTTCTTGAATAATTAAGGAGTTATCTATCCCTTGCCTCCCATGAATGAAGCTGGCTTGGTTTTCAGATATTAGATAGGGAAGAGAGTTTCTCAGTCTATTGGCTAAAATTTTAGTAATAATTTTATAGCTAACATTACAAAGGGATATTGGTTTAAAGCTTTTTATGTATTCAGGATTGTCGGTCTTAGGGATTAAGGTAATTCCAGTTTCATTAACAGTAGAAATTTTCTCAGGATTAGTAAACATGTCTAAAACAAAATCATGAATAAAAGGACCTAAGAACTCCCATTGATTCTTATAAAAAATTGCATGGAGACCATCAGGCCCAGGAGACTTGAAATTTCCAATGCTAAACAAAGAGGCTTTAACTTCCTCTAGTCACCATAGAATGGATCCTAATATGGTTAGATGTTTGCAAGGGAGGAAATGTATTCAGACTGTACAAATCAAAAGTATTAGGAGTGAGATCAAAATAGATATCTTGAAAATAATTTAAGGCCATAGCTTTCAGTCTCACAGGGTCATATTCCTAATTATTATAATCATCTTTAAGAGCTTCAATTAAATATCTAGTATTCCTATTTCCAAGTTTAATCCAATTATTCCTATAGTGGTGATACCAAAAGGTTTCCTCATTATCTAAAATTAGTTGATATTCCTCCCAGAGAGATTTCCTAAGATTTAATAGAAAAGAGTTGTCTCCTATAGTCAATTTCTTAGAAATTTCCTCAATTCTTCTAAAAATATGTTTTTTTCTCATAAATATATTACCAAATACAGACTTATTCCATTTAGAAATATTACTTTGAAATCTAGAAACATTAGTTGTCCAGGGACTAGAAGGAAACCAAGAATTCCTTACTTGAGTATGAAAGTCTTTATGAGAAATCTAGTGGGCTAAGAATTTAAAGGGCTTATTGACTGGGTTAGAGTTATTACTGTCTCTAATTTTTAACTAGAGAGCATGATGATCAGACTTAAGAATAGGAATATGAATAACAGAACTATTATAGAAATGAGATCTCCAAGGATCATTGGCCACAACTCTATCTAACCTTTCTTTCAAAACTCCCTTTTGCCAAGTAAAAAGAGAGCCCTTAAAACCTAAATCCTATAATCCACTAGTGTCTAGGCAATCAGCTAGTTTTCTAATACTAGAGATATTAGCATGTCTTCCTCCTACTTTTTCAAAGTTGTAGAGAACAGTATTGAAGTCCCCTGCTACACACCAAGGGGCATTAGTGGATGAACTAAATTGAACTAACTCTTGCCAACACTCAGTTCTAAATCCTTCATGAGGACTGGCATAGATAGAGGACAAGAACTAGACAAATTGGCTACAGTGAGTGATTTTAAGGTGAATGCAATACTTAGACTTAGATATAACATCAGCCTTAACCCTATTAGAATTTCAACAGCACTAGATTCCCCCAGCGTACTCAACAACATCTACTTTCTCAAAACTATCCAACTTAAATTTTTTGATTGTCAGATCAGCTTTATTAAGGCTAATCCTAGGCTCAAAAATTGCGAGAAAATCTAGATTATAAATGGAAATCAGGTCATTTATTAATCTAGGGAAGGATTTCCCTCCTGCACCCCTACAGTTCTAAAATAAACAATTCATTGACTATTGGTCAGGTATCCTACACCTGATAGGTGCTGAAATGTTGTACTATTACAATCCATAGGTTGAACATGCTTAAAGGCACACATAGACTCCTAAGGAAAGGTTTCTTCATCTATAACAGAACTGGGGTCAGGTGGCCTATCAGTAGGATCATGAACTAAATTACCTTGGGGAGTTCATATATGCCTAGACCTGACTCCAATTAAATCTTGAATAGACTTTCCTATCTAATCATTTTCAATCTAATCTTTTTGGATTCTAGACATTAGCAATAGAGTATCTTGGGTTTCTTTCTTAGTTAAGGTATAGGGAAGTTGTTTAATATCCAAATTAATTGCAGTATTAGTTTTAATACTAACTTGTTTACTCTCACCCAAATTTCCAAGTTTAGCTAGAGTTTTCATTTTCTGAGTCTTCTTACTATGAGTATGCAATTTATATTCATTAGAAGATTTCTTCATAGATCTTGGACTTAGAGAAACATTATGAGACTCCGCATTACCATTTTGGTCAGCACTAATAGTGAAAGATTCATTATCTATAATTTGGCTCAACCCTATTGCAGAATCTCCTAGCATATTAAACCTAGAACTTGAGGACAGATCCATGTCCTTGCTAGAATTTTTGGGGGTGTTATGTGTTGGACCAAATTTTCTCCTGACAGGCTTCTTGGCCAACATCCAGGGGCCAAAAGCACTATGTTCTTGACTTACTTCACCCATAGAACAATCTTGACTAATTTCTTTAAAAGAAACACTTGGCTGATCATACTCACAACCATTACCTGGAGAGCTGTAGTTATTATTAGATACAGTATCTAACCCTTCCTGATTATAGACTATAGGATTAGTGCACATTTCCTATCTGTGACCATATTTACCACATCTAAAACAGATAAGATGAAGTCCCTCATACTCAACTATAAATTCCCGCCCTAGAACCTTGAAAGAGGGAACCAATTGCTTCCTCAAATCTATTTCCATACAAATCCTAACAAACCTTCTTGTAGAAAGTAAAGACGTATGGGGATCAATTTTGAGCATTGAACCCAGGCAGGCCTCAACTTGCTAAAGAAATTTTTCATGATAGAGTTCTAAAGGGAGGTTAGGGATTCTAACCCACACAGCTATTTTCTTAAGGTTATGATCCTTTGGCCTAAATAAAGGCCGCCATCTCTACACTAGTAGATAATGATCTAGAATAAGCCAAAGGCCCTCAAAGAGAGCGAACTTATAATCCTCCAGATTATCAAACTTGACCAAAAAGAAGTCGTTATTAAGATCTAGTATTTTAAGGGGATCATTTTTCCCCCAAATATTCCCTAATTTATGAGATAAGTAGTTAAAGCTTATCGATTTTCCTAAAAGTTTTACTATTAGAGTAAATTTCCAAGGGGAACACCACATCTCGTAGTCCTCTAGAGGGATTTTAATGTCTGGACATAAGTTCTGAGTATTATTTAGAACATCGTCTTGGTCATCTAGATCAGAGTAAATATTAAACTCATCCAGAACCGATTTAACTATTTCGTCATCATTCAGAATCAAATCTAAGCTTTTTGGTTCTAAGACTTTATCTTTGTAAGAAATAAAAGTAGGAGAGTCAGGGATAGAGAGCACTTGATTCTGGAGCAGATCTACAAGCGCGTCTTCTTGCATATTCGAGATAGCATCCTTCGTGGGAGGAGATGGATCCATCTTGACCTTCTTCGTGCTCTGGAGCATCAGATCTAGCTCCTCTTTCGAAGATTCCTCAGCTTCAAGATTCTTCATTTTTGAACTTCTCTAACCTGATGAGTCACAGATAGGTAAGGGATCTCACTTTTGTGCTACGGTTAAAGTCACAATGACTCCCAGGAGAACGATGGAGACGAAGGGTAAGAAAACCCTATCTGAGTCACAGTACCACTTCACCAAAAAAAAAAAAGAAAATCTTGGAAGAAAGTTTAGATATTTCTTTTTAAACTTTAGATCTATTATCTTGGATATTTCTTTTCAAATTTTTATCAAATAAATTTTAACCATAACCACTCAAATTATCATTAAATTTTACGTTAGAAATACAAAACAAATTTTTAAACTTGTTTAAAAAATAAAGATGTGAATGAGTTTAAAAAAATATAATATAGTTTCACGTGAATGAACAATTATTTCTTTTTTAAACGATAATTACTTTAAAAAAATTATATTAAAAAATAATTTATTTTAAATATTTAAGAGATTAACATTCTTTATTTATGAAATTTGTTAAGAATTAAATTTTAAATATTTAAATTTTTAAAATATATTATAACAGATATTTTATTAACTTATTTATAAGTCACCTGCTTTCCTAATTTACTATAGCTTTTATTATTGTTATGTACTATATAATTAATTTATTTCTAGAGACATATTTCTTTATAAGTTTTGTCATCTTGAAATATCAACAAATTTTATTAAATAAAATTATTTTTTGTATAAAGAAATTTTGTCAAAGAGTACATGTAAGTTTTGTTAAATAAACATGTTTTGTTTAATAAAATCTCAAAAAAAAAAACAATTATAAGTTATTCATTTATAGCAGCCACCAAATTTGGTAAATAAAGAATTGGCAACTAAACTTGTCAGCGAAAAAAGTAACTAAAAATGGTCGTTATTAATCTGCAACTGAGCTGAAGTAGCCACAAAAAACTTGTGGTAGATTAGATATTGATACTTTTGTTGTCACTGTTAATTATTTAGCCACCGAAGGCGATGGTCACCATTAGCCACTAATTTAGTCACTAAAGGTGGCAGTCCCCATTAGCCATCGAATTTGTAACCAAATATATATATATATATAAAAAATTACAAATTAATGACCGATTTTACAACTGAAATTAATTGTTGTGATTTATCGATCAAAACATGCTTTCACATTTTGTGATCAATTTGTGACTAAAATTTCAATGGCTGTTTTTGGTTACCTATGGATTTCTGCAATTAATTTTGCCAACAAAAAGATTATCATAGATTTTTTTAGTCATTATTTTTAAAATTTTGCTACAAATCACCTCTTTATTGTTAAAATTGTTTGTGACTAACAATTTGAGTCAATTATTAATTTTGTGATTAAATACTTGATAATTTTAATCGTGCCTTATAAATCAATATGACTTTTAATACTTTTTTCACACATTAAATAATTATCATTGTTAATTTAATATTAATAAATAATAAGACTAATAGTTTATCTATAAAATATGTAAATATTTTTTTATTTTTAAAATACTAAAAGAATCACAGTTGTTAATTTATAAAAAAATATACAATATTTTCTCACTTTTAGAGGAATTATAGATACTTTTGTCATTAAACTTTATAATTTTGGCTAAATTAATTTTTTCTTATTGTGTATCTTAAGCAAGTGGTGCATCAAAACTATAATTAACCAAATTATATTTGCATTAACAAAATAAAAATAGAATGCATAATATAAAAAATATTATACATATATATTTTTTAATATTATTTTATATTTATATTTATAAACTAGTTGAATATTAAATTTATCATGCATCGATAAATATTAAATTTATCAAATATTTTAAATTTAAAATACTAAATTAATCATTTTCGATTAAAAATTAACTTTTTAATTTTTAACTAATTTATGAGTCATTTGTTCCAAAAAAAAATTTAAAGTTTGTCAAAAACACTTACAATTATTAAATTACATGAAAATAAAGCACAAATAATTAAGATAATTTTTTAAAAAAAATTAATATAAAAAACTACGTATAATAGTATAAATTGTTTATTTTATGAATTAATGATTATACCACGTGACATTACTCACGTAAATTTCATGATAAGATATAAAATTTCTTTAAAAAAATACAAAATTTTAAAAAGTTATCCAAACTGATAAATTTCATATGTGAAATCTGTTATCCATTAAAAAAACAACTACTGTACCGCTACACAAAAGTAGGAGACTCCATCTATAAATTAACTGAAGCAATAAACCACAACCCTAATCATCAGAACAAATCAGTGGGAAAAAAATATGGAAGATAAAACAACGTCGTCAACAAGAAGAGATGTAGAAGAAAAAAATATCAATGACTGGCTTCCAATCACAAAATCAAGGAACGCAAAGTGGTGGTATTCAGCTTTTCACAATGTTACTGCTGTGGTTGGAGCTGGAGTGCTGGGTTTCCCCTACGCTATGTCTGAGCTTGGATGGTTTGTTCATCGTTCTCTTTTCCTTAATCCTTCAGCATTTGCAAATAGATATACATTAAGGGTTTTTTCACTGTGTATTTATCCACACAAGTTATGTGAAAATTCAGTATTATAGTTGGGTTAAAAGGGTTTTTTTATCATGTATTTATGAGCACGTTATATGACAAATGAGTATCACTTAAAATGGTTTTTTTTTTTTATTGTGTATTTGTGAACACGTTATATGAAAAATTCTCAGTATTATGCATTCATCCCTGGGTTAAAAAGGGGTTTTTTTTCATTGTGTATTTATGAGTTCATGTCATGTGTATAAAAAATGAGTATCATACATTCATCTTTGGGTTTTAAATAGGGTTTTTTCATTGTATATTATGGGCACGTTACATGAAAATGAGTATTTTACATTCATCAAGAAAAGAAAAATAAAAAAAAGTATAATAGGTGACACCAATTAACGTGACTTAAAAATATGTTACATTAAAAAGTATATCATTGTTGTATATATGTGTGCATGGCTGTTACATTAACGTCACTTTCTTTGATGGGGCAGGGGTCCAGGCATTACAATATTGATTCTTTCATGGATATGCACTCTCTATACTGCATGGCAAATGATTGAAATGCATGAGCCTGAGCCGGGAAAGAGGTTCGACAGATATCATGAATTGGGGCAGCATGCATTTGGGGAAAAGCTTGGACTTTGGGTTGTTGTGCCTCAGCAACTAATGGTGGAGGTTGGCGTTAACATAGTTTACATGATCACAGGTGGAAAATCTCTTAAGAAGATTCATGAGACTCTCTGTGATGGCTGTAAGCCCATCAAAACAACTTACTTCATCATGATGTTTTCTTGTATTCAATTTATTCTCTCCCACCTCCCAAGTTTCAATTCCATTGCTGGTATTTCTTGGGCTGCTGCTGTTATGTCCCTCAGGTATTCCACCTTGAAAGAGAAATTACTTTTTAAGTTTGTTATTTATTTTTTTAACTTTTAATATCAATCCTTTTACTTGAAATAAGCATGCAAGTACTCTTAAGAGACTGAATAAAAAATTTAAATTGAAAATATTTTTATTAAAAAATGTATAAAATACATCCACTTCTATAACTTTTTATTGCATCTTAATTTGTTTTCTAATAAATTATTTATTGATTTCTTAATTAATATAGTTAGGAAACTGACTAGTAAGATCTAATTAAAAGTACTGGTAAAATTCACTAGAAAGCATTGCTTTTTTCTCAAAGAATTCATTTAATTCATGTAATAAATTGGTATGTGGACCATAGTCTATATCTAACAATTTTTATGAGAATTATACATTACATGATCATATAACAAATATTTTTGGTCATTCTGCAGTTATAGTCTATATATCTAACAATTTTTATGAGAATTATACATTACATGATCATATAACAAATATTTTTGGTCATTCTGCAGTTACTCCACTATTGCCTGGATAGCTTCAGTTCACAGGGGTCCGCAACCAGGCGTGAAATATGGTTACAGATCTTCAACAAATGCAGGAAATACGTTTGACTTTTTTAGTGCTTTGGGTGACATAGCTTTTGGGTATGCTGGGCACAATGTGGTTTTGGAGATCCAAGCAACCCTCCCTTCCACCCCAGAAAAGCCCTCCAAAATAGACATGTGGAAGGGCATGCTTGTTGCTTATATCGTTGTGGCTCTTTGTTATTTTCCTGTTTCTATCTTTGGTTACTGGGCTTTTGGAAACATTGTTAGTGACAACATCCTTTTATCCCTTGAGAAACCACGCTGGCTCATCGTAGCTGCTAATATATTTGTTGTTGTCCATGTAACTGGAAGCTATCAGGTATATAACTTGTTCTTTCTCTCTTTTTCTTTTTTTGTTTGTGTGTGTGTGTGTGTGTGTGTGTGTGTTATTATTAAAAATTTTGTTGTGCTTTACCATCTAAATCTTATTGATTTTCTTGTTAGGTCTTTGCCGTTCCAGTGTTTGATATGATGGAATCGTTCCTTGTGATAAATATGAAGTTCAAGCCAACTTGGTTCCTTCGGTTCATAACTCGCAATATTTACGTTGGTTAGTGTGCTTTCTCCTCTCGTACAAGTTCCATTTCATGTACTTAATTCCACTATAAAGACAATTTATCTAAGAATTGCAAATTTCTTTATATGCAGCATTTACATTGTTCCTTGGAGTCACGTTTCCTTTCTTTGGTGGGCTTCTCGGCTTCTTTGGAGGATTTGTATTTGCTCCCACCACATACTTTGTAAGGAAAATAGATATGTATAGTCAAATTCGACTAAATTATCCCATAAAATAAATATCTTGATCATCTAAAGGGAACTAATAATATTTTATCTGCAAAAAGTCAAATAAAAAATTAATAAAATTTTCAATATAATGTCTTAACATCATTACTCCACTTAAAATAAGTTATCTATCTTATAAAATAAGACATTCATATTTTTCAATAGTTTTTTATAAAATAGCTACAGTAATTAAATGCTTATTTTAATATATTTCACAATCGCTTGCAGCTCCCTTGCGTGATGTGGCTTGTCATCTACAAACCAAAGAGATTTAGTTTTTCTTGGTGTGCAAATTGGGTATGTGAACCAGAATACTCCATAGTCTTTTATAATTGTTTTGTTTAATTTTATGCTTTACCTTTTACTGTACACGAGTTTGATTTCTCGTTTCTGCTTCAGTTTTGCATCATATTTGGAGTGTTATTGATGGTTTTGGCTCCTATTGGCGCATTGAGGCAGATCATACTAGCAGCTAAGGACTACAAATTTTACTCGTAGCCTCTCTCTTTTGCATGAAGGGAGGCTGCAGAATCAATCTTGTCTCCATTTTTCCAAGACGTTTGATAATCTATTTCTTTGGTCCTTATTTGATTAGCTCTAGTTTTAATTAATCATCCATTTGATTAGATGTTTTAATTAGCTCTAATTTTTTTATTTTGTAGAATTGATTTTTCTTAAGCTTTGTTTTCTGTACTTAACGCAATTTTTATTCAAGACATATAAGCGGTAGTACAATAGGAGCAAGAGGTTTCTGCATTAATGTTAAACAGACAAATTATTCTCATTTTTACGCATAAAACAAGTAAAGATCCGTGTAATTTTGCGTATGATTTTAAAATGACAATTTTGAGTATTTCTTCCTTTTTTTCTCATGAGGGATTATTTTACTTTCAGTTTTGTCATCTCACATGACTTTGTGGCTATAAACATGTAATTTACAAAAATATATTGCAATAAAGATTATTAACGTTTGCAACGTACAAAATATATTTTAACATTCATATTAATTCAATATTTATTCATGAGTTCGTTAATTGGTTTCACAAAAATTGAAACATCAGTATCCTCTATGTTTATTTCTATATAGGGACACGAACAAGATGACAAATGCCTTGTTCAAGATTGAAGCTCAAAATAATACTTTTATGTAAATTTAGTTTTCTCCAATTTATACAGTACATTCATTTATCTTTCAAGATATATTTTTTTAATTTTTTTATTGTTATTTTATTAAAAAAATACTCATTATTAAACTCAAGTAAACTTAAGCCTGATTTTTAATTAAAGTTACAAAATTAATTCTTCAACTTTAAAACATATATATATATATATATATATATATATATATATATATATATATATATGTTTCAATTACATTCAACGACTCAAAATTAAATTTATTAAAAAAGTTACTGAAGTTTAAACTAAATGAATACTTTATACAGTGAGTCGCTTTAACAATCACGTCATTTTTTACCCACAGCTAATCCAATCAAATACACATTGAAATATAGACCAAAAGATAATTTCAGTGTCCAAAATAAACAGTGGGACGAAAGAGCTAAATCGACGAAAAGTTAAAAATAGATCCATTAATTTAGGCTATTAAACTCAGTTCAGTTCAGTTCAGGTTAACTCGCTGTCGAGTAGTGACCTTATGACATTCTCTAAAAAAATTGTTTTAATATATATGAAAGATAAATATTATATTATAATAATATTATTTTAAGTATATTAAATTTAAAATATCAAATATTTATTTAACAAATTTAAAACAAAAAATATCATCACAATCTTTTATTTAAGAAAACTAAAATAAACACTTGAAATAATCTTAAATATTAAAAAAATATTTTAACTAATCTTTCAATTATTTAACTTGAAAAAAAATTGTATCTTTAATTGAAATGGTCTAACTTTCATAGTCATTATTCTCGTTATCATCATCTAGAACAAAATTTTAATTTTGCTAGTAAATTTTTAATATAAAATACATTAACAATTTTAGTTTTATAAATAATAATTTAATTTATCTATCACCTACAAATAACATATAACCTGCGAAAAGTTATAAAATAGTCCACTCTAACTAGAAATGAAAATAGGTTAAGTTGTCCAAAAGGGACCCATGACCTAATTTTTTTAAAATTTAACTCAACTCAACTTATTTAATTAATAGGCTTAATTTAAATTTTTTAAAATTAATTAATTAAATAAGTCAAACTTGAACTTAAAAAAAAAATTATTAGACCTATTAGAATGACTTATTTAAAATTTATAAAATTTATAATAATATAATAAATAATTTTATATACAAATTTAATATAATAATATCTTAATAATATATAAAAGTTCAATTTATCTCGTCAAAAGTATAATTTGACGAAAAAATTCAAAGATAATAACTTCTGAAAATATTTTTAAAATATTTTTATTCTAATAAATCATATTACATATTTGTTTCTTCTCATTTACTATAAAAAATATTGTTATTTATACATTTTAAATTTTTTTTGTTGCATTTGTTAATTTTATGTCTGAAACTTATTTAATTATATTATATTTGTTAATTTAATATGTAAAATTTTATACTACTATATTTGTTTAATGGTTTACAAATTGATGTTCATTTTATTATAATTTTTGTATATGTAGTGATTTATTTATTTAAATTAAATATGTGGTTTGAAAGTGATAAATACGAATATATAATTTTATTATACATATTTAAGGTGTTGAATTATTTTTTTAATAATTTCTTTAGATATAAGTCTTATAACTTTTAAAATTAATAATTTATTTATAAAAAATTTTAATGACCTATTAAATATCTCAATATGAAGTAAATTATTAAAAAAGCTAATAAGTTAAATTAAACTTTTAAAAATATCAAGTTAAGTTAAAGAATATAACAGGTAATAAACCAAACTTAAATTTTAAAATTATTAAATAAGTTAGACTTATTTATATAAAGTCTAGTTTAACTTATTTTCATCTCTTTAACTAAAATGAATCTAAGTCTTTTTTAAAACTTTTTTTTGAGTTATCTCATCAAATAAACTCATTTTATTGACTTTAGTAAAAATAATGGATTGAAATAAAATTATTTTAAATTTTAAATCTAAAGCAGCTGATTGACTACATCTAATTCAACTTGTGATCGGTAAGGATTTATTAGCTATGTTGTTTCTTCGGCTTATTTTGAGCAAACACCTATTTATTTTTATAATTTTTTAAATATTTTTAAAAATAAATAATTTATTTTCTTAAAAAAAACATTTCAAAATTATTCTTAAATTTAAATATCAACCAACTACAATATATTGATGATAAGGTATAAATTATTTATGTTTATCTAATGTAGTAGTAAGTAGTTCCTTATAATTTCTCCTATTATACTTATGTAATATTTTCAATAAATTTTTAGATAATTTAATTCTAAAAGAAAATGAGTAATGATTCAATGGGTATCTTTGAGTGTGTGTATATGTGTGACACTCATTCACACTCATCTTATATTATTTAATAATTTTTATATCAAATAATTTAATTTTAAAAAACTATTATATTAAAAGTATTTAATAATATAAATGAAAATTATTTAATATATTATTTTTTTATAACAAAATTAACATATATATATATATATATATATATATATATATATAATCAAAATAAAAATTGTATGATTGCACATGATTAAATTGTACACAAATAATCAAGATAATATATAATTATAATTTAATAGTTGAATTGATAAAAATTATATTTTATATATATAATATGTGAAAATTGATGAAAGAATTTTCAGGGATTATTTATATTTTTATTATGTCTAGTAGTTCAAATCATGTTATGTATTTATTTTTTAAATTAATAATATTTTAAATTTTATATAAATTTTTTAAGTTTGTTTAATATAAAATAAAATTTATTAATGATTACAATATTAACCTTTTAAATTTTTTAGAATTTAAAAATAGTCATACAATATATTTTAAATTATTTATTTAAATTTATTTTATTTCAATATTTTCAATGTAGAGCATGAAAAATTCATTAGCTATGTTAAAGAGAACAAACATGTCTCATTCCATTATCATTTTTATACATACTTTTCTTTTTATTTATTTTATATTTGCATATTTTGAATCATTTGTTGCAATTAAACTGTAATTTTAAGATGGTTTTGCATCAGAGGGATAAAAAAAAGGGAAAACATTGTTAGAACAGGAATGAAACTTAAATAAGCCATTTCAATTTGTTTCAAATGAACTCACTCCAAGAGATGACAAGGCAATATGTTAAAAAAAGGAGAGTATTGTTCGAGAAAAATGAGAAACATAAGTGATTTAGACAAGCCATTTCATATATTTCAAGAGATGGCAAAGCGAAGTGTCGCTCTATTTGAGTCTTTTCACTGTTCTTTTTTGTGGTCACTGAATCAAACAATATATTCTCTTTTCTTGTAATGAGATCGTTAAAATAGACATATTCTCTTTACACAAAGTACTTTTCTTACAGTCAAAAATTAAACGTCTGTTAATATATTTAAAGAATTTAATTATCTATTAATCATGTCAAACTTTGTTACTTCTCCCATTGTTCTGTGTGTTCAATGAGGAGAATCCCTATATAAATATGAAAAATGACATGATAATCCAAGAGGAACAAAAATAATAAATTAATTATCATTATTTTTTTTTATAATCATTTCGATTGAAGAAGCAAGTGCGATTACTATTCCATCTGCTCACTGTTTTTAAACACTTTCAATTAAATTATATAAATCAATAAAAGAAGATAAAATTAGTTTTTTTTACTTTTTGAAAATTATAATAACTTGACAAATTTTATTATTATTTAATATAGTGTATTTAACTCTACTGTCAATATTTATCTGTATTAAATTTAATTTATATGTCCACAAAATTTATTTTTTTTAAAGACAAATGGAAAATACATAAAAATATAAAATATTTTATAAAAAGATTATTAGAACTTTTAGAAGGTGGCTTATAAAAAAAAATTAAAAATATATACTTTTCACCACCAATAAATAAATAATAAATATGATATTCAAAAATATTTATGCCAAAAATAAAGAAAAAGCATTATTGGTGAGATCAGTCACTGAAATCCATGTACAAAAACAAGTAAGAAGTCAAAATATTTTATTTTTCAAGGAAACAACAATTTTAAAAAAATACAAGAAAAAAAATCAAATATTTCATATTTTATAATCTCAATACATCATATAAATACGTAAATTATTATTTCTTTCTTATCAAAAGGTTCTAATTTAAAATGTTTAGCGCCACAAACCATTATCACCTTTTAAGAAAAAATTATACCTTTTTATGAAAAATATATTAAACTATTAGGAAAGAACAACAAAAAGGACAAAGATATATAGATCACGGTCCAAGTTCTAAATTTTTTTAATAAAAAATCTACATAAAGTTAATTTTTTATCTACAAAAATGTATCTTTTTGTAATTTATTAATTAATATAATCTTATATACATATAAAAATTTGTTTATTTCCAACATTCTTTTAGATTTTTTTAATCTAACCTTTTTATATTCACTTGAAATTAAAAAAAAATTACAATTTTATCTTTCAATATAAATATGATAATTCATTTTAATATACAAATTATTTTTAAAAAAAATTGTGCTTGCTCTCTAGATCTTGAGACATATCGAATACTCAACTCATTTAAACTTCCAATATCAATTGTATGATTATGCAAAACATTGCTGTAAATTTAATCGTGTAGAAGATTATGTAAAAGTACAGCTCGATAAAATGCCAGCTTTACTTAGCTATAGCTGTAAATAAAAGAATTTCTGATATGCTTTTGTAGTTTTATTTAATCACCAAATAAAACCTTTTTTTATCAGTTATTTTATATATACAAATCTCAAAAACACTCTTAAAGTAAGACAATCCCATAAAAGTTGTAAGAAAAAAACAGTTCGAAATGTTTTCTAGCGCGACAAAGTATGCAAGAATATACAACAGTAACTTCTGCTGGGAGAAAGGGATGGGACGTTGGGTACCGAGCTTAAATTTTCTCTTTTTTATTTGAAACTTGAAGGGAAAAAAAGATTGAATCTGATGCTGGAAAAGTAAAAGTTTACATTTTAGGATGTAGCAACGTGGTGCAATCACCAGACGCCAGAGTTCATGGATTAATGGTATCCCAAGTGACATTCAATTCAATAAGACTGTGACCACGTACCCTTCCAAGTTCCAACCCAGCTCTGTCCCCATTTGCCCATTTGTCCCACCTCTCAAGTCCCATCTCTCCCCCCAACACATTTCTGTTACAGCTTTTCGCTTTTATTTATGGCTAAAGCATATCAGCCACACCATTTTTAAATTCAATAATTTTTCTTCAAAAAATTACACATTCAAGATCTACATGGTTACAATTTAATCAGCACCCCAAGATATCAAGAATTAAGAGAGCAATATCCGTTATTTATCCCTATATATATAATTTTGTTACCTTTGGCATAAAGATCGAATCTTATAGGAATAATAATTATTTTAATTAAAAAATTATATTATTAATTACTTAAATTCAGTCCAAAGCTTACAATTAACAAATCCAGCCTCAAATCCGTATGATTTAATGGATGAACAAGAGACCGGATGAACAAAGATGGGGTTAGATCTGATATATACAAGGCATAAGGCAGCATGGCACATAACAGAGAACTTATATTAAACCATTGGTGTTTAGGAAACATGAACACAGTACCAGTGGCTAGATATTCATTAGTAACTCATTAACTGTTCCAAGCTCAAACTCAAATCCAAAAGCCAATATTTTAGCTAGGATTTATGGGAACCAAAGACAACTCCCGATAACAAAAGTACATGCATTAATTTACAATCAGGCAGTAGGCTAGCCCCGGCGGGTAGTTATATATATTCACAGTTCTTAGCACTTTTAAAGAAGATCTTTCGAGATCAGCAGCAAAAGAAATAGTTATACTCTTACGACCATGGAAGTAACGACACCACCACCGTTTAGTGAGTTTGTGATACCTTCGATAATTGAAACCATGTGTCAACCCAATCTCAAGCTAAGTGCAGCCTTAACGTCCAATCTCCATGCAAAGCCGCCCGAGTCCATCCTCCACACGTCGCAGGGCACGGTGAGCGAGTTCCTCTCCCTCCCGCACGTATACTGCACCACCCTCACCCTGCACGTGAAGGACGAGTAAGGGACCACTGCACCCTCCTTCATCACCAACAGCACTGCCATTCCCTCTCTCTCCCCGTTATGCCCCATCATCTCCCCATACGCCTCGTTCGTCCACGTCACCCTCCCGTAACCGTCTGATATAAACCCCGGACACGTGTCCTTGCTCAGCTTCACCCTTCGTTCCTCATCCGTACTCCCCAATCCCTCGCCATCCACCCACGTGTCCGTCACGCACTCCACTGTCACACACGAACACCACCCTCCCAACCTCATAGCTGTCTGATCCATCGCGCCAAAGTACCAATAGGATTCCACCTTCGCTTGGTTCTCGAAACTCAACCACACCGGCATGTTCTTCTTGTTGTTGTTATTAAGCACTTCCTTTGGTACAGGAGTTAGATTCCTCGCCGGAGATTCCTTTGGATCGGGAGTTTCCGGCAGCAAGGGGAGAGTGACAACCGGCACCGGATTTTTCTGTTCCGGGGAAGAGGTGGTTTTCCTTCTACGGTTTCTTTGTTTTCGGGTGGTGGTGTTATCTCTTGCGTACTTTCTTTTGGTGGTTGGGGCTTTGAAGAAGGCGTCACTGCTCTCAGAGGAAGAACCGTCAGAAGCGGTGGTTCCGGCGACGGGTTTGGGTGCTATGGGGCGAAACCTGAGCATTATTTTGTCTACAGTGGTGGACACATGAGGTGCAGTACCAGTTGCATATCTGGCGATGCAACACCCTCCTCTACCATCCATCATTCCCTCTAAAACTCACTGTTTCTGGAGTTAAGACAAAGTGAAAGAAGGTTTGAATGTAAGAGTGGAAATAAAATGAAATGGAAATGGCGGGGGGAGAGAGAGAGAGAGAGAAAGAGGGGAAAAGAGTTAAATGCAGAGGGTAGAGACAGGGAATGGGTATAGACAAGTGTTGGATTTATAGGAGGTGTGAAAAGGACACGTGTGAGGGGATAGAAGAGAGAGGAAGGGGATTGGTTGGGAAGGAAAACGTGTCAGAAGGAAGAGAAAGGGCGAATGAGAGGAGGAGGAGTGCACAGTGAGAGGGGCAGAAAAGAGGCACGTAGAGTGGGAAGTTCGTGCATTGTGATTTGTGAATGAGAAAGTTTGACCGTTAGATGGTTTGGAAGGAGGAGGATTCCAGACCGTGCCAATAGCAACCAGATAGCGCCAGGTGGACGGCCCGATAGCGACATCAAACCTCAGTAGAACTTCAATGACCTGAGACTACATTTTACCCAAACTTCTTGCCCTAAGTTCAAGTACCACCAAACTAAACTAATAGGGATAGACTCTGCTTATGGTTAATTTTCTGTTTTGTTGTTGCTTACTTCTTATTCCCCCAACACAGCTTCAATTTACAATTTTAGATGCACTTCAACTCTCTCTGTTCCCTTCCACCCTATGCAAGCTCCACTACAGTGCCCCGGTTTAGAAAGAAACCTAGACATCATTTGTTTTAGTATTTTGGGATTTTTTTTATTTTTATTTTAATAATTTTTAATTTCACTTTTAATTTGTCTAATTTCATTTAGAAAAATAATAATAATCTCAATTCGAGAACAACATTAAAAACAACTATGGAATTGCACCCATGTTTTCTTCAAATTTAAATCAGAAAAAGTTAATTGGTTAAAAAACTAGAACAAAATTTTTTCTATTTTTCAAATTAAAATAGCCTAAAATGTAATTAAGCTTTTTTTTAAATTTAATATGTTTATTTATGTTTTTGAAAGAATTTTTTTTATTATTTTGAGACCTGTTTGTGTAGTTAAAAAAATAAACTATAATTATTTTAAAATAATTTTTTTATAATACTTAGACTCTCTCGTATTATTGAATAATATAATATAGTTGTATTAGAGAAAAAATATTTTTTTATCAAATATAATCAATGAATTTTATAACCAACTACAGTATGTTGTTATTTGTTAAAAGTTATGGTTTACTTTTCTTAAATACTATTATATCATATTACATTGATTACAAAGATAGAATTTGATTTTTTTATAATATAAGAAAACAAAATACAACTTGTATTTCTTTATTAAATCTTTAAAATTTAAACTATTCTTTTTATATTTTTAAAAATTTAAATAAAATAGGCCCAAAATAAGATTTGGATAAATATGTTTAAAAAATAGTTGAGAGAAAATTTGTAAAAAAAAAAAAACACACACTAATTACCCCCAACTTCAAATGTAAAATTGAAAAGAAGAATGCGAGATGCACATCTTTTGCATTTTTAACAAAAATTGTATTTTGTAGTATATTTTTACTTAAATAAATTTAAAATTATTTAAATAAAATATAAAAAAAGTGATTTTAATTAAATGAAAAACTTTATTTAAATAAAAATATAAAATTTTATTTAAGAAAAAAAATAAGTAAGAGAGAAGAGGAGAAAGTGAAGGCTAAGTGGAGTACGAGAAGTTAAGTAAGAAAAAAAAGATGAATAGGAGGAGGAATTGTAAGAAAGAGATGGGTAAAAGGTAAACAGAGTGAGATTGTGAAGTACAGGAAAAAGAGTGAGACAACATTATTTTTTATTTAAATAACTTTTTTTTAAATAAAAATAAAATTATAATCTACAATTTATTTTTTTAAGAGAGTTTACTCTAATATTAAATTATATTTTATTTTTAATAATTTTATATATTATATATTTTAAAATAAATTTATTATTTTTTTATTCATTTGAAGCGTGTATTAAATTTAAAATATAATACAATAATTAAAATAAACAAAATAAAATCAACTATAATATAAATTTTTCCTTACACACAATCATAATATTTATATAATTACTGGAAATCAAAAAAATAAGATATAAAAATTATTTTTTTAATTTGTACAATAATGTACAAAATAAAAGATATATATAATATTTTTTATAAAAATTTATAACATTTAAAATTATTTATATATATATATATATATATATATATAGTTTTTTATGAATCATATATAAATTATTTTCTAAATATACTTTTAAGAGTATATAATAAAATTTTAATATATAATATTTTTATTAAAGATATAATATTAAATTTTATAATATTTTATTATTTTTAATTAAAAAAACTTATCATACATAAATTTTTATTATATATCCTTGAAAATATTATGTATAAATAGTTATACTAACTGATATAACTACTATTTTTTTTTTCTTTAACAGAAAATAAATGTCAATGTAAAGAATTAAATGATACATCTCAAATTAATATATTAATTTTAGTCAATATATTAAAGCTTGTAACAGTGAGTGATAATTTTATCTGTAAATAAAGGGTTGAATTTGATATGAAATAAAAATACAATATAAAATTTAAACATAGAAAGGTGATATGTTGTAAATAAATTGTAGTGTTTTATTTTAAAAAGTGGAAGAAAAACATATAATTTGTACAATCAAATATATTCATATGTCGAATATTAGCCATTCATATAATAGTTGTCCATCCTTAATTTATTTTTATTTATAAAAGGATTTGTGAATACTAAAACAAGACAAAGGTTATTCCCTTTTAGTTTTAAATTATGTTTTTAGAGGGTTTATAAAAACATATAATATTAATTTATATGAAATAAAATAAAATAGATTTCTGAAAACATAAGAATGTGAAACAAACTAGTTAATTTATTGTATATAGTGCATGAGTATTATTAATTAAAAAAAATATTATATGATAATTTTAATTTTAAACATTAATAAATATAAATTCACCATATTAAATATAAATAAATTAAAGAAATATAAACATTTCAAATATGTTTAAATAAAATAACTTATAAAAATATTCTTATTTAAAATTCAGGACTTACATTTCGTACACACAAAATAGATAAACTCTTTTTAATTACTTTCCCCAATGTGTAGGTAGCAATTTGACTGAGATGGTAGATTATCAAAAATATTATTTTAACATGATGCATTACAAAAATAATTGATGAATATTAATGAGAGTTAAATCAAGTATTACAAAACTTTTTATCCTTTCCGTGGACCTTTAAGTCAAGAAATTTGTCGTCATTAATATCATTGTAAGTTACAAACGAGTAATCTTTTGTTTAAGACTTGATTGGATAAGACCTGAATCTCCATTAAAAGAGAGAGAAAAGGAAATTCCTCTGTTGTTATATAAAGATGTAAACAGCAAGCACACATATAAAAGTCATTATTGCAAGAGTAGAAGAACTCAAATTCATAGGCTATGCAGGAGAGGCGTAAACATTATAAACTATATTTGTACAAATTACGTGACATTTTTATATAATTTAACTAAAAAAAGGGCTTAATGTATGTTCCCTTCCATGTGAGTGGCGGAACCAGAGAAGGACAAGTCTAATTTATATCCAAGAAAAATAAATATAAAAAATAGAAAACAGTTGATTGAAAAATGATTAAAAAAGAGGTGGTACGGGGAGCGGATTCGTTCATCCTACGACACACTGAGCCAATTGGAAAACACCAACTCATAGCGGTGGTGATAACCATTGGGACTCTTATTTGAGCATCTAGAATGTGGCCACCTAATTTGTCCTAGTAAAAGAAAAGGGTCCATAGAGTATTATATTATGCCTATTCCTGGAGTCGTAGGATATAGCTCCTTAGATTTAGACATTGGGTTCAATAATTCCGGCAACGGCTAAAGCATATATGATGGGGTAGTGTGGAGCCCATTTGCATGCAAGAACATAACACAAATGGAGCAATCACAGCCATTGGTTGAAGGTAGAATCTAATTGGCTCCAACTTTTGTAGTACTACATAGAGCTGCTACTAACTGAGGGTCTTGTCACGAGGGAATGACGTGGTTTGGATTGCTGGTGAAAGAGGCCTCTGAAGGGTTGGAGTGGAGAGTGGTCTGGTCATAAGGTACCATTATTGATTATTCAGAATGCTAATTTGATTGCAGCGAGCTCCACATGTCGGTTAGTTTAGCACTGTTCACAGAATCATATCGTATTCATGATCAGGCCATGTTTCGGGATCAGAAACCGTCTTTTTTTGTGTGGTGTAATTGTACCTTCCCACATGAAAATAAAGTTGCTCTCATGGTGAACTGAATCAACCCATCTACTACGTGGCCTTTCGGATAGCTACCAATGTTGATTTTTGATCACGCTGTACCGTCCCATGTTCATTTTCTACAGTAACACTCGTGCTTCCTTCAATTTTTAGTGGATAAAATCAAATCTGCAATCAAGAGAACAATTAGTATAAACAAAAACATTCATGAGAAAATGTATTTTTATTTATAAATTTAAGATAATATTAATTCTATTTTTCTCAAATAATAATAACCGCTCCACATCTGAAAACTAAATTTGAAAAAGAGGCCGATTAAAATAAATCAAAGCTGTAATAGAAAGGTTAAAAAACTTCAAGAATATAAGAATACTACTTATATTTTTAATTTATGTTTTCTTGCTTTCGTGTACAAATAAGCAGAATCAAGTATAATAATTTTTTTGTTGATTTTAAGTCTGAGGTTTATAAATCATATTTTTTCTTTGAAAGTAATTATTTTTTTAATGTACTTTAAAGTATCATATATAAGCATAAATTAAAAAAAAAACTAATTATATCAAAATCAGTTGTTACCAAATTAAAAGCAAACAGACTGGGAGCTACTTTTCACAACAAATCAGTAATTGTCCTATATAATCCATGTTTTATATTATATAAATTATCTTGATTGTTTTAAAATTTTAGTCTATTTTATAATATTTTCATTTTAAACATTAAAAATATTAGTTATTTTTATGATTATTTTTAATATTTTCACTAATCAAGTAAATAGTTAATCAAGTGAAAATGTTTCAATTAAGAATGATCATATTTTGCCAAAGATTAAAAATATTTAATAAAACTCTTT